AGTGGGGTTTGAAATTAAAACTATGCCGTAAGTATGTATGTGTTTATGTATTTTTCAAATAAAAACATTGGGATGAAATAAAACTATATTTTAATCTGAACCATCAAGTGAAGCTGAATTAGTAATTTGACAAGAGTGTGAGATGAGACATATACATTGCCCTTCCTCACTAAACTAGCGACGCGACGCCGCTCTAGCGAGTGTTGCATCTCGCCCTGATTGCGTCTGTAATAGAGTCATTGTTGCAAATAACCATTTTGTTAACGAACTATTGTCATCAGGATTTAGTGAAGGGACTGGTAAAAACGGCGACGAAGGTGTATTCATTGCTTACATATTATCTCACCCTCTCACACACACACGATCTACCACGGGTTGTCTGTCCTTTTTATTAATTTAAAACAATGAAACTAATAGAAGAAAAGATTGTGTATTTTCTTATAACAGTAGACGAATTGATTAAAAGTGGAAAACATTTAGATAAAAAAAATATACTAACTTAATCTTTGATTATTACAAAAGAACATTATAAATACGGGGACACAAAGTTGTTCTGCAAAGTGATATTTTAATTGTCTTGAGATTAGAGACGTGATTGAGACTTGAGAGACTCACGAGACGAGTCGTCTCAATCATTGCGATCGCTAGAGATCAGACTCGTGGTACATCTACAGCAGCGATCAATGCGATTGTCAGGATAATTTGAACGTCAATAATGAAGGACCCGAAATGACAACATTAATTACACAAACAAAGGTCACATTTGTCACGCTTATTGCATCGAAGATTAATTAACTGCGGTATTGCATGTATACCGTTGGAGTAATTTATAAAGTATTTATAGTATTTATAAACTTGAGTTTTTACAATACAGTTTAACCTGCCAAAAATAAAACTACTGTACATAGAAAATGGCACCTAAACATTCAGAAAATCTATTTCTTTTACTAAGTAGGCAAATCGTAGGCTAGAACTTTTTTCGTAGACTATAAGATTTCCCCTAAGCTATGTAATTTTCTTAGAATATAGTAAGGACGATTGAATAGGCAGAAGGATCGGTAAATCCAATTTGAACAAAGTAGCATCAGGACACATCTATGGTTAACTTCTTTAAACTGTTCTGTTACTAAGAATACAAGGGAGCTATTAAATTAGTTTTTACTTCTCGTAAAAATAATGTCAAATCCCGAAATATGTGTTTTACAATAAAACAAAGATTACGTGTTTTAAAATAATTTTAATGGACCTTGGGCAGGATACTATGGACCCCTGTTTCATCAACTAGGGCAGTATTTTACAACTGTGTAATTACTTCTCATCATTTTGATATATTTTACAGTCAGTTTTCTTTAACCCCCAACTAAAAATCATAAGTCCATCGGGATCCTTCATAATCGTTCACGAATACGTCATGTATTTTTTCAAAGAGATTAAAGAGATCAATTGATATGAAAATGAAGACTTTACATGTTTACCCTTGTTCGTAAATCAAACTGAAAATACAACAGTTAAAGAAACGTGTATCCATCCTACTTTTTATAAATCCTAGTTTAAATTGTGTTGGGACTTTACTATAGTAGCAATCACCTGTCTGCGCTGAAGACGGCGACAGTGCTAGATTGTTAGATTGGTAGGCCTAGATTGCTAGATTGTTAGATTGTGACGCGGCCCCCAAGGTGTTATTCAGACTCTAGGCAAGTCTTGACTGTCGCAGTCGCATTGCACCATTCCTTCAATTCCAAACGGATTGCTATTTTAGCCTTATCTACGTTTCTTTAGATTAAATCAAAATACCTCTCCAACCATTATGCTGAAAATTTACTTATGGATTGTATTAAATGAAAAGTCGATATTGATGGGTTGTAATCTCAATATTCGATATTTAAATCTAATCGTGTTTTTGTATCAATTAGGACATAGCTCAAGTATGTAGAGAGTAAAAAATTTATGTTTGATAACTCTCAAAATACTTGTTTTATTAATAAATGTTTAAGTAGGTTAGTGATTCAAATAAACCCAATTGAAATCTACAAATGCAGAGTTTCAAACATTCTTGGTAAGTTCTTATTAAAGTATGTAACTAAAAAAACGTAATTTTATACGTTTTAAATTAGGAGTATCAAACATTATTATAAGTTAGGACATACATACTGATTAATTATTTATTGTAGGTTATTGTTAAACAATTTCTTTTGCGTTATACATGTATTATGTGTAGTTCTATTTACCCTATTTTTCCTCTTCTTTAATTATATTTGCTGACAATTACTTTCAATCTTTATTAATCGGCACAACTTTTTAGGGATTAGGTTGAAATAATAAATCCCGATTAAAAATGTACACTTAAAACGGCCACTTTTTTTTATTAAAAGGTTACACAGAACATATCATACTTATGGTGCATTGTGTCCTTCAGATCTGATTTTTAAGATACAGAAGAAGAACAGCTTCTTTGCCAGTATATACTTTTTTCTAAAATTACTAGCTAAGAACTGCTTCCCGATCTAATATTTTGCAGGTTTTCACGTATAACCTTTTGTTCTGTATATAACAAAATTATTTTGATGCTACTTATGTTTTTAAAAAGTAGACTGCTGTGTTGAAGATATGTTAAGAAATATTTCAATTATATTGAACATATCAACTTCTTGTACTCAAGAAATCTATATTGTACTCAGAAACGTAGCAATGCGCCAAGAGTAATCTCAGGACACGCTGACTACCAACCCTCCTCTGGGAACCACTCCAATCAGCCCAGAGATCAATCCAGAAACCATATTGTACTCAGAAACGTAGCAATGCGCCAAGAGTAATCTCAGGACACGCTGACCCTCCCCTGGGTATAATTCCAATCAGCCCAGAGATCAATCCAGAAACTGTATTGTAATCAGAAACGTATTAATGCGCCAAGAGTAATCTTAGGATACGCTGGCTACCAATTCTCCTCTGGGTACAATTCCAACCAGCCCAGAGATCAATCCAGAAACTGTATTGTACTCAGAAACGTAGCAATGCGCCAAAAGCAATCTCAGGACACGCTGGCTACCAACCCTTTTGTAGGTACAACTTCAATCAGCCCAAGTATCCGTTTGGATATTGTATTGTACTTAGCAACGTAGCAATGTACCAAGAATAATATCAGGACACGTTGACTACAAACCCTCGTCTAAGTACAACTACAATCAGCCCAACGATCCATCCAGATACTGTATTGTAGGTCTACTTAGCAACGTAGCAATGCACCAAGAGTAATCTCAGGACAGGCTGACTACAAACCCTTCTCTATTTACCATTCCAATCAGCCCAGAGATCAGTCCAGAAACTGTATCGTACTCAGAAACGTAGCAATGCGCCAAGAGTAATCTCAGGACACGCTGACATCAACCCTCCTCTGGGTACCACTCCAATCAGCCAAAAGATCAGTCCAGAAACGGTATCATACTCAGAAACGTAGCAATGCACCAAGAGTAATCTCAGGACAGGCTGACTACAAACCCTTCTCTATTTACCATTCCAATCAGCCCAGAGATCAGTCCAGAAACTGTATCATACTCAGAAACGTAGCAATGCACCAAGAGTAATCTCAGGACACGCTGACATCAACCCTCCTCTGGGTACAACTCCAATCATCCGAGAGAACTGAAAAAAGTCATCAAGATGGCGCCTACTAAATGTGGCTTGGCTGATTGCAAAAGAACTATTGCAAAGAACAGTAAATGTATAAAGTGTTACGGGTTTTGTCTGTCGTGGTTTCATATTTCGTGTGCCGGTCTATCAACTGAAGAATTAAATATTTTTAAGGAGTTAGGGAATAAGGCTTATTTCAAGTGTGAAAAGTGCCGGTCGTCATCGGAAACGTTGCCGCCGCCGTCGGCACTGTCGTCTGCTCCCAGCTCAGCGAGTTCTGTGACTGAAGATGACGATGAATGTGAGTTACAATATTCGAATGACACATTTCAATCTCTTTTAGATAAAGTGTTCAATTTAACAACCACTCAAAACAAGATGAGTGAGCAAATTATGTTTTTAATTAATGAAAATGACAAGTTGAAGGACGCATTAAAACACCAGTCTGAAATCATCGGTGATATCGTTTTGAACAAGTCTGCGAACAACACGTATGCTGGCAAACTAAAATCTCAGAATTTAAATAAAGGTGAAAGTAGAATTCAAAGTCAAACGTCCCTAAATTGTTCTACTCATATTGATAATGATGTCGATACTGTTAAACCTAGCCCTAGTCTGCTTGGGCATAATGTAACTGTAAACGAACAGACGACAGCCAGCTCTGTTGGAAGTAGACATAGAGTTACAGAATCTATGGCGAGCTCGTTACATCGAAACCCAGAAAGCGGACCAGATTCATCAAAGTTTGAAACTGCCGCAGCGGAGTCAAATAGGAGTGAGATGGTAGCTGAATCCGATTCGTTCCAGACTGTCTCCTATCGGAAGCGAAAAATACGTCGTGACATTCAACAGCAGGAGCAGAAGCAGAATAACGGAGGCCGTGGCGTTGGAAATGTCAGTTACAGACGACAAAATCAAAATAAACCTAAGTTTATTACTGGAAGTTTAAGTTTAGCGGATGGTGATAGAATCAAAACTGCCGAAAGGAAGTCGTTCCTGTTTGTGTCTAGGCTATCACCTGACACTGACTCTAAGGATTTGGAATAATTTCTATCAGGTAAATTTAGTGATGAAACTTTTAAGGTAGAATCGCTCAATTCTAAGTACCCTGAAGAATACTGCTCATTTAAAGTCACCATTCCTTCCAGGATTGATGAAGTAGTGTATAAACCCGACTTCTGGCCGAAGGGGGTGTTTGTGAACAGGTTTGTTGTCAAGAAGTCTTTAAACTTACAGGACAAACGAGTTTTACCTCCAATGTGATTGATTTAAACCAGATAAACAATGATATTGGTGATGTGAATGTGACAAGACCTAGGCCTAAGCACAGGTTTGACACAGACGGAGCCAATCTTTGTGCACAAATAAATGACATGGGGGAACTAAAGGACATTGTAGGCCCCCACGAAGCTAAGTTCACATTAAGCCTACTCTTGATTAATCTACAATCTATTCGTAACAAACTCCATGAATTTGAGACTATTTTAGCTCAATCAAAGACAGATATAATTTGTGTCAATGAACACTGGCTTCTGGCTGAAGAGATACCCCTCTACGTGCCTGAAGGTTTTGTTCTTGCGAGCTACTACTGCAGGCAATCTGCTTTTGGCGGTTCATCCATCTATGTGAAGAGCGACACAACTTATGAGGTCTTGGACATGAGGGAATACGGCTGTGACGCTTTTTGCGAGGCTTCAGCTATTAGACTACATAAACTAAACATGTTAGTCTTGTGTATTTACCGTACTCCTACTTCTAATTTTAAATGTTTGTTGTAACTAACCTTGAAAAAATCTTAATTTGTCTATTTAATGATTCTCTCAAACACATAGTCTTGGCTGGTGATCTAAATGTTGATATCCTCAAAACCCATGACCCCGAAACTGTTGAATTGATTAATCTCCTTAGATCATTTGATATTTATTGTGTTCATGAAACCCCAACCAGATTTAAAGCTTGCCTTGATGTTGTAGCCTCAAACATTACATCTGACCATGTTGAGGTTAGGTTACTTAACCAAGATATATTATCGGACCATGCGGGTGTATGGACCACATTTACCCTGGATTCCTTTACTTTTGACGAAAGTAGAGATAGGCCCAGTCTAAAAAGAGAAGTAGAAAAGAAGCGCATCTTATCTCATGAGAAAATTAATGACTATAAGCAAATGCTATTATCTGCTAACTGGATGGGTATCTACACTAATGATGTAAATATATCTGTTAATGTGTTTTTAAATATACTGTCTATGTACCTGAATTTAAGTTGTCCAAAAATGTCTGTAAATAGTAGTTTTAAGGGAAAAAAGGGTTCACTGGTAAAATGGTTTACGCCTGATCTAGAAAATATGCGTAAAGTACTCCTTGCACTGTACGACAAATGGAAAATCACATGTGACCCAGATGACAAATTACTGTTTAGCAAATTTAAGGCACAATATAGGCAAGAAATTATAAGTGCAAAAATAGAAGCAAATGGTAGGTTTATAAGTAATTCAACAAATCAATGTAAAGCTGCTTGGCTGGTTGCTAAAAAGGAAGGTAACTTGGTATCAACAAAGAAACAGATTATACCAATTTCACCTGAACAAATGAATAACTTTTTTGTTAATGCCTCCAATGTTCAAGGTAATGACCAATCTGTAACTAATACTGATTATAAAGAGTTTTTAAATAATAACATAAATATAGATTGTAGTAGGCCTAGTATTAACTTTAAGGTCAATTTGGTTGATGTAAATACTGTTATGTGTGTTGTAAATAAAATGAGTAACTCTAAATCTGAAGATGTTTACGGAATGTCAAACTTTTTAATTAAGAATATAATTCATGAAATTGTAATACCATTAACTTTTATTGTTAACTTAGTTCTTAGCACAGGCATATTCCCTGAATGCTTAAAAGTGACAAAAGTTACACCCATCTTCAAAAAAGGTGATGTAAACAAACCTGAAAACTACAGGCCAATTGCAATCGTTCCTATTATAAGCAAGGTTATAGAACACTGTATTGTAAACCAGCTCAATGATTATTTTGTAAGTAATAGTTTGTTTTATCCTTTTCAGTTTGGCTTTAGGCCTAAACACTCGACAATAGATGCTGTTGAAAAAGTAGTCGAATATGTTTTAAATGGCTTTGAACAAAAACTCACTGTAGGGTCATTGCTAATTGATTTAAGTAAAGCTTTTGACTCTGTATCACACAAAATCTTATGTGACAAGCTAAAGTCTTATGGAGTAGCAGATAAGGAATTGAGGTTAATTCAAACATATCTCCAAAGCAGAAAACAGATGGTTAGCTTTAATAATATGAATTCCGAATACCTAGATGTTACAGTAGGGGTACCACAAGGCTCTGTCCTTTGTCCTTTTTTGTTTTTAGTTTTTGTTAACGATTTTAGCTCTAATGTCTCTACTTTTTCTGTGTTGTACGCTGATGACACCACCCTGGTACAATCTGATATAGATTTGGTGGGTGTTCAGAACAAACTTGACATAGCCTTGATGGAGTCAAAATCATGGTTCTCTGCAAATATGTTGGCTGTGAATGAAGGTAAAACAGAGCGCTTAATTTTTACACTAAGGAACCATTGTGATTTAGATTTAGATAATGACTTGTTCAAGCCTGTAAAACTGCTGGGTATTACTCTGGACAGTAAACTCTGTTGGGACGAACATGTACACAACTTGTGCAAAAAACTTGCTCGTGTTACCTGTCTTTTAAGAAAACTTAAAACTTGTGTTAATTCTGATGTTCTTTTTATGGTTTATTTTGGTTTGTTTCATACCCATCTTATTTATGGTATAAGACTATGGGGCAATTCACCATCAGCAAAAAAAGTGTTTGTTTGGCAAAAAAAGCAATTAGGGTTATCTGTGGCCTAAATGAAAATGATTCATGCAGAACAGTCTTTCCTGAACTTAGCATATTTACTCAACCTAGTCTGTTTATTTACTATAATCTTATATTTGTTAAAAACAACACCCATATCTTTCAAAAAACCTCTACTATTCATTCTCACAACACCAGACAAAAAGAGGACATTGTTAGACCTAGTATTAGTCTTGATAAGTATTATAAGAGCCATAGTTACCATCAAATTTTAATTTATAATAAACCGCCTACCAATGTTAAAATGTTACCACCTAAGAAATTTATCAATGTTATTAGCAAGTGGCTTAAAGTTAAGGCATTTTATACCACTGAAGAGTACCTGAGCTGTGACCCTCAAGACATTATCTATTGATTTTATATATTTTGACGACACCTATTGTGTACTGCATATTTAATGGTGAATAAATTCTTGATTCTTGATTCTTGATTCTTGATTCTTGAGATCGGTTTGGAAACTGTATTGTACTCAGAAACGTAGCAATGCGCCAAGAGTAATCTCAGGACACACTGACATCAACCCTCCTCTGGGAACCACTCCAATCATCCGAGAGATCGGTTTGGAAACTGTATTGTACTCAGAAACGTAGCAATGCGCGAAGAGTAATCTCAGGACACGCTGACATCAACCCTCCTCTGGGTACCACTCCAATCATCCGAGAGATCGGTTTGGAAACTGTATTGTACTCAGAAACGTAGCAACGCGCCAAGAGTAATCTCAGGACACGCTGCCATCAACCCTCCTCTGGGTACCACTCTAATCAGCCCAGAGATCGGTCCAGAAACTGTATTGTACTCAGAAACGTAGCAATGCGCCAAGATTAATCTCAGGACACGCTGCCATCAACCCTCCTCTGGGTACCACTCCAATCATCCGAGAGATCGGTCTGGAAACTGTATTGTACTAAAAAACGTAGCAATGCGTCAAGAGTAATCTCAGGACACGGTGACATCAACCCTCCTCTGGGTACCACTCCAATCATCCGAGAGATCGGTTTGGAAACTGTATTGTACTCAGAAACGTAGCAATGCGCCAAGAGTAATCTCAGGACACGCTGACATCAAACCTCCTCTGGGTACCACTCCAATCATCCGAGAGATCGGTTTGGAAACTGTATTGTACTCAGAAACGTAGCAATGCGCCAAGAGTAATCTCGGGACACACTGACATCAAACCTCCTCTGGGTACCACTCTAATCAGCCCAGAGATCGGTCCAGAAACTGTATTGTACTCAGAAACGTAGCAATGCGCCAAGAGTAATCTCAGGACACGCTGCCATCAACCCTCCTCTGGGTACCACTCCAATCATCCGAGAAATCGGTCCAGAAACTGTATTGTACTCAGAAACGTAGCAATGCGCCAAGAGTAATCTCAGGACACACTGACATCAAACCTCCTCTGGGTACCACTCTAATCAGCCCAGAGATCGGTCCAGAAACTGTATTGTACTCAGAAACGTAGTAATGCCTACAGATCGGTCCAGAATCGAGAAACTATTTCGGGACGAATAAACAAAGGCCTACGCTGCAGTGAATCCTATTTTTTTTTAAAGTACCGACGTTAGGTACATACATTAGGTAGATTTGTGATAGTGAGAACTTTGGAGTTTTAACTAACTATGCTATGTAATATTAATTTAAATCTATCTTGAACGATTGTGTGGTATCAGTATTAGTATTGTAAGATAATTATGAGAGTATGCACTTGAACTGCACTTGAACTAAATATGCCATAAGACATATAAACAACTTAATAATAATACGACAATATATAAACAATATTCTCTGTGACACGGTTTAAAGTTATTTGTTCATCATCTCACCATGGGTAGATTTTATATTAATCTAATTTCCTTTTTCAACGTTGATGTTGCAGTTATTGTAAACCAAAAGCATGGCTATTGTTTAGTAGGTGCGAATGTATGTGCATGAGTCGTGATAAATATTTGCGATAGTTATTAGAAATTAACCATAGATATTTAACCAGTACTTTGAAGACTCTTGTTCCTTATAAGATCATAACTTTAATAGGAGAAAATGGGTTTTTTAGTTGGTGTATATTTTAGTTTGTGTATATAATTCATATATACACTAAAATGGGAACCTAACCTGCGAAGTAAAGTCAGTGCTGGACACCTGGAAGCAGTACTTCTCCAAACTACTAAATGCAGATGGAGGAGTCAGTAAGGAGGAAGAGAATGAAGACGTTTATCAAAATGTACAACCTGAAGTATGTGAACCTTCTGAATCTGAAGTACATGAAGCCATCAAACAACTCAGCAGTAATAGAGCACCAGGAAATGATGGCATCCCTGTAGAAATTTTCAAAGTTGGAGGAAAGACACTTTTAATTAATTTTCATAAATTAATTTTGGAAATATGGAGGAAAGAATCCATGCCAGATGAGTGGAATGAAGCTGTGATTACTCCAATACACAAAAAGGGAGACAAAACGGAGTGTAACAATTACAGAGGTATATCTCTTTTAAGCTCAGCTTATAAAGTACTGTCAAAAGAAGTTTGTGTATATAATTCATCCGTGCGCTGTCCTACTTCAGCGTATACGGAGCGTCCCCTGGGTGGCGGATAGGGGAAGGTCGGTGGATCTGCCAAGGCAGTCCTCCCGGCTAGGTCCGAGGGACCCGCTGACCAAAAGTAGGTGCGGTCCTCCATTCATATTGGGGGTTAAGCATAGGGCCAACCACCCTACCTTGTAAAAAACTCCTGGTTACGAACCGCCAACAAGATGCCTCGGAAAGGACTGGATATAATGGACATCGACCCAACCTTCGTACAAAGGACTTGAGATTTGGAACATGGAATATACGCTTGCTGGCTAGTCCAGGAGCAGTGGACATTGTTTGCAATGAGTTAGAAAGGTACAACATGGATGTAGTTGCCCTTCAAGAAGTTAGATGGCCATTTAATGGCATAGTCAACTCGGGAAAGTATTCGGTATACTACAGTGGAAGAGATGATGGTATTCACCAAGCAGGAGTTGGTTTTGCTATCAAGAAAAATATTCAAGAAGCTCTTGTAAAATGTGAGGCTGTGAACGAAAGGCTGTGCCTAATTAGACTAAGATGTAGATTTAAGAATATGACTGTGATCAATATGTACGCTCCAACGGAGGATAAACAAGATGAAACCAAAGATGAATTTTATGGTCAAATAGAAGAAATTATATCTGATATCCCCAGTTATGACATAAAGATATTACTTGGGGATGCAAATGCTAAAGTTGGAAAGGAAGAACTATGGGGAGACTATGCTGGTATGGAAAGCTTACACAATGTATCCAATGACAATGGAATTAGACTCCTTAGTCTAGCCTGTGCGACCAATTTGTACATCAGTAGCACCTCTTTTCAACACAAGAATATTCACAAAGAGACGTGGATATCTCCTGATGGAAGAACAAAAAATCAAATAGACCACGTGCTTATAGACAAGAGACATAAAACACATATTACTGATGTGAGAAGCCTTAGGGGTGCAGAGTGTGGATCAGACCATAACCTAGTGCTGGTGAGAATACGTCAGAGACTAAGTTGGGAAAAAAGGGAACGAGATAAGGCTGAAATTCAAATTGATACTACCAAACTTAAGAATCCAGCTATACAGAGAAATGTGGAAATCAAACTGTCCAATCGATTCCAGGCCCTACAAGACCAGACAAATGAAATTGTAGATATTGATAAACATTGGGAGAAAATAAAATAAATAGTTACAACAGTCTCAAGGGAAGAGTTAAAACCAACAAAGAGACGACGGAAGAATAAACCCTGGTTTAGTAGTAGCTGTGAAGATTTGATACAACTCAGGAGAGAAAAGAAGAAATGCCTTTTAAGTAGCAACAGCAATGAAACAACCAGAGAACAACTCAGAGAACTTAATAAACAGATAGTAAAAAAGTTTCGGGCCAAAAAGCGCCAATATGTCTCTGATCAATTAAAAAAGGCGGAAGAAGATAGAACACACAACAACGCCAAGGAATTTTTTAGGGCGGTGAGGTTTTTCCGGAAGGGATTTTCCCCCAAAACCAATAGCATTAAAGATGAAAATGGGAACCTAACCTGCGAAGTAAAGTCAGTGCTGGACACCTGGAAGCAGTACTTCTCCAAACTACTAAATGCAGATGGAGGAGTCAGTAAGGAGGAAGAGAATGAAGACGTTTATCAAAATGTACAACCTGAAGTATGTGAACCTTCTGAATCTGAAGTACATGAAGCCATCAAACAACTCAGCAGTAATAGAGCACCAGGAAATGATGGCATCCCTGTAGAAATTTTCAAAGTTGGAGGAAAGACACTTTTAATTAATTTTCATAAATTAATTTTGGAAATATGGAGGAAAGAATCCATGCCTGATGAGTGGAATGAAGCTGTGATTACTCCAATACACAAAAAGGGAGACAAAACGGAGTGTAACAATTACAGAGGTATATCTCTTTTAAGCTCAGCTTATAAAGTACTGTCAAAAGTAATCCTAAATAGGCTAAAAGTATATATAGAAGAAAATATAGAAGACCACCAAGCTGGATTTATTCAAGGTCGCTCTACAACGGACCAGATATTTACTATCAAACAATCTCTTTCGAAATATTGGGAATATAATAAAGAAGTCCACCTACTGTTCATTGATTTTCAAAAAGCATATGATAGTGTCCTTAGGAAGAAAATGTATGAAAAAATGAAAATGTTTGGCATACCTGACAAACTTATTAACCTGACAAGAATGTGTATTCAAAAATCACGCTGCAAAGTGAAAATAAATGGAGAATATACTTCAAGTTTTGAAGTAACAACAGGAGTGCGTCAAGGAGATGGCCTTTCGCCCCTCCTTTTTAATTTAGTGATTGAAGATGCCCTCAAAAAGACTAAACAGTTAGCAGCAGGAATTAATATTGGAATCAAAATTAATGTGCTAGCGTTTGCTGACGATGTGGCACTTCTTGCAGAAAACAGAAAGGATCTTGAGAGCTTAACAAAAGTCCTAATAAAAGAAGCCAACCATGTTGGGCTAACAATAAACCATCAAAAAACTAAATATATGAATGTGGCTAGAACCGAAGGAGTAGCCAGGAAAGAGAATTTTAAAGTGGATGATTTGGAGTTTGAGCATGTGGATGAGTTTAAATACCTCGGCATAACAATAACACATGATAACAAAGAGGAAAAAGAAATCCAAAATAGAGTAATTGTAGCCTCAGCAACCTACTGGTCCCTAGTCAATATGCTTAAGTCAAAAACTCTGTCCAAAAATACCAAAATTAAAATCTATCACTCCATCATTCTTCCAGTACTACTATATGGATCGGAAACATGGGCACTAACAAAAGAATGGGAAAAGAAACTTATTATTTTTGAAAACAAGATTCTCAGAAAAATATACGGACCAATTCAAGATGAAGAAGGCTGGAGAATTAGGAAGAATAGAGAATTGAGAGATGTGTATCACCATCCAGATGTAGTAGCAAGGATAAAAAGCAGGAGACTGAGATGGGCTGGACATGTGTGGAGGAGAGAGAACTCATCATTGATCAAAACTGTGGACCAGAACAAACCAGAAGGCAGAAGACCACTCGGCAGGCCGAGACTGCGATGGAGGAGTCAGGTGCTGAAGGATGTGGCTGTTTTGGGCACTACTCCTGAGGCAGCGGTGGATAGAGAAGAGTGGAGAAGCATCGTTGGCGAGGCCAAAAACCTTCTGAGGTTTCAATGGCCAAGGAGGTAAGGTAAGGTATATAATTCATACTTTGGTGACAAAACTTTAACATGAGTAGAGACTGAAATTCATGTTTTGTTTATTATGCGTACACATACAAGTTAAAAGGCTATGAATGAAAGAGTATTAAATTAATTTTTAATGTTTTAGCATTAAATTGTTGGAAACATTTTACTATTATCTTGCCTTACGAAGATATTCTAAATATGTGAGTAGCTCGTTCGTTATAGTGTTAACCTGTTAATCAAAAGCTCGCAGGTTCGATCCTGAAATAAGACAGTATCTTTGTGATGTTTCGAAGCTGGACCCATCAGTCCTTATCGGCGGGCTTTCAATAGTCCTGGCTAAAATGAAGCTTGCCTAAATCAGTAATAAAGATGCACAGATAATTTCACTCTATTTCATAAACCTTAAGACATTATCTAACTAATAAGTTATTAAATTACAATTGACCTTCGGACACGTTTATTTTAAAGTTATGATATACGGTTGAAACTACAAGTAACAATATCCTATGTCAAATGTATTTCGTCTGTTATTATTAAGCCTTCTAAGATCGGTGGTCGGACCGTTCCTCATGTAAAGATTAGTCGATATGTAAAGACGCAACATGATGGATCGACTCGTGTGTGTGTGTGTGTGTGGGTGTGCGTGCGTGTGTGTGTGTACAAGTGACCACACACTACAACCACGACGAGGGATGATCAATCATAATCATAGTGGGACACACGTGTTTTGCGACTCCCTCGTGGTCCACGATACATCTCTTGCATCATCTAATATTTATGGCCTACTTCCAAAGCGCCGGACATTTGCATCCAGCCCTTCTGCCGGCAACATTTATTTACTGGCAAAGTATGTTAATGCACCTCAAGTCCTTGGTGAATTTCTAATGCGTTTACCTAATGTGTTTATCTTATTGCGAATTTCAGAAGGCGAATAAGTGTAATGGAGCGGGAATATAAATTATTTATGAACATTCGGGTTGGACGCTTTTCATGTATTTGAGTTAACAAATTCTGCTTCTGAATTGAGATCTCTATTTAGTGGATTTTCTTAACGTTTTATTACAGGTAATTTTTCCTACACTATACAAGCATTAATAGTTTTTACTGTTTTAAAATTGAAACTCTTTACTATAAAAAACGACATTCTTATCTAACATCTATGTAACTCTAATAAGTTTTTATATATTCAGACTCTTTTTAAAAATTCATATGTTACCGAACATATAAAAGTAACGCTTAGACTTTTTATTGGGGTTGTGAAGAGAAATAAGCTATACAGTACTACTATTATCAAAATACGATATGTTTACATTAATTATGTGCTTTGCTATTTATTATATGTATTTATTAAAAGTATAGCTGTACCTATCCTTTAAGAATATGGGATAGCGATGGGATCATAGTTTGAATAACTTTAAATAATGTTAGGCAAATTTATTGAGTCTGTTTATTTTTAAAATAAATAGTTATTTTTAGTATGAATACACGAGTGAACCGTTCCTGGATACAATTTGTTATCTTATTGTACTGATTTTTTTACTTATCACAAATCTGAGAGCAATGATCATGACTGTGTTTATAAAAAATGTCCCTTGTATTATTTTTTTCACAGAGTCAATTGCTGCAGCTTGCTTCTAAAATAGGACGGCTTGACACACCCTGACAATCTTGCTTGTCTGACAAATGACACTTGTGTTTCAGAATCTCTGCGGGAGTACTTTAGTAAATACGGGGAAATCACGGAAGTAATGGTCATGAAGGACCCCACGACGCGCCGGTCGAGGTGAGTAACTCACTCTCTCTCTCTCTCTCTCTCTCTCTCTCTCTCTCTCTCTCTCTCTCTCTCTCTCTCTCTCTCTCTCTCTCTCTCTCTCTCTCTCTCTCTCTCTCTCTCTCTCTCTCTCTCTCTCTCTCTCTCTCTCTCTCTCTCCCTCCCTTCTTTCTCTTATATTTCTCTCCACATAAGCAGCATTCCATGTGTATTTGTTTACAAGTAATTACATATTTTGTATTATTATTGCATGTTGAAATTGCATATTAGAGTAATTACATATTTTGTATTATTATTGCATGTTGAAATTACATATTAGAGTAATTACATGTTGAAACATCGATATAAAATGGCCAATGCAAATATTTGAAATAACAAACAAATCTTTTTTAGAAGAAAGAAGATGACAAAGAAAAATGATAAAAATATATAGGTAGTGTAAACTTGCACAGCCGGAGCTTTGTATTTTTGACAGTAAATTTGTTTCATTATTTCATAACACTTTTTATTTAGATTATTAATCTTCCTTCAGTCACCTCGATTTCACTAAATATTATTTATGCACCGTAACAGTTTTGATCCCACACCTGATACGATATTATGTTTTCCAAACCCAATTTTTAACTACATTTAACATTTAAAAAAATACTCATGACTTGTAGGACTATAATTAATTAGCTACACAACGATTAATTTGTTATAAAATTGTATAAACTCTATGTTATAGCTTTGTTATCGAAATGTAAAGTATGTTACGAAGCTATAACCACCGTCAATTCAGGTATAAGGTTATGATAAACCTACGGCCATAAACGTAACGTAGTAAACGGTCGCACGGGTCGTGTTCTGCTCGTAAACCTCATCGTCAAGTGAGATATTCAATATCAAGGTCGCCTCACAGCTGTCACGACTTGTTATCACCTTGCAGTATCACTTTATTAATAAGAATATGAAAATGGAACTTATATGCCTAAACCCGTATGTAGAACTACCTTAGAGTAGGGAAATTATTAGATAAACGACCTCATTTCTCAAGATCAGGTGATAAATATATCAGACGAGATTAACAAAAGCATAGAAATAACCGACCCGGTCATTAAAGACGTAAACAGATTCTTTCAAGTTATTTTTTTAGATTCAATCCTACAGCCACCTACAGTACATACGTTTACATTATTAGATAAACGAACTTATTTCTCTGGATCAGGGGATAAATATATCTGACGATGTTAACAAAAGCATAGAAATAACCGACCCGGTCGTTTAAAGACGTCAACAGATTCTTTCAAGTTTTTTTTTCAGATTGAATCCTACAGCCACAGTAGGAACATTACTAGATAAACGAACTCATTTCTCTGGATCATGTGATAAATATATCAGACGAGATTAACAAAAGCATAGAAATAACCGACCCGGTCGTTTAAAGACGTCAACAGATGCTTTCAAGTTATTTTTTTCAGATTGAATCCTACAGCCTCCATACCGGAAACCATACCGGGTCGGAAGTAAGTGTCTTTAATCTAGTCTTACCAAAGTATTTTATTATAAAAAAATTAGATGAATGTTTTGAAAAATCCTTAGAGCATATAAAACAGTTAAAAAGAGTATAAATAACTTTTTAAGTTTACTCTAGCGTATACAACATTATTCACTATGATTTAAAAGTTAAAGTTTTATTTTCGGTTGATTATGGCATTTTAACATCAGTAATCAGTGATCCCGCGAGAAGCGTGTGTAGCTTAGAAAACCGTTTCTAGATAGAAACCTACAGTCTGGAGCCATATGGCCAGAAGTCTGCCAAAACCAGCCGATTGCGTAGAGGATATTTTTTTTATTTTAGCCGGTGACTTTCTTGACCCTTTCTGTCAAGTAACATTTCATCACCCCTGGCCATTCGTCAAAGCTGTCTAGTTTATGTTTAGTATTTATAATTACAGGTCTATAGCTCAAGAAGGTACTTATGAATCAATTGTAGCCAAATCAAGCATTTTTTATGTTCATATAAAATAATTATCACCATTTACGTGGTTAAGGGGGATGAAATCCACCCCTGTCCCCTTCAGCCGAGGTAACAAGTAAATATATACAAACACCTATTCAACCTGTCAGTCAGATGCAACATACATTAACCAAAGAAAGTAGAGGGGAGACTTCCTCTCAAACCTCCTAAATTTTATTAACAGACTATAGCACTATAAATACAATATACCTTATTTATTCTTGGCTACATTCCAAACTGAAAACCATTTAATACCTTGACCAAAAAATAAAATATTTGCTGGCTTTGGCTTTTTTCCTTTTTCTTGTGTTTTTATAAACTGTAATAAAAGTTGAGAATAAGCTATTCAAAAAGTCCTAACATATCTTGGAACGTAGAGTCTGATGAAAATCCGCAACTGACACAAACACTTACAGAGCCTACACACGGAGTACAATGTATCCTATAACAATTACAGAGCCCACACGCAGAGTACAATGTATCCTATAACACTTACAGAGCCTACACGCAGAGTACAATGTATCCTATAACACTTACAGAGCATATACGCAGAGTACAATGTATCATATAACACTTACAGAGCCTAAATGCAGAGTAAAATGTATCCTATAACACTTACTGAGCCTACACGCAGAGTACAATGTATCCTATAACACTTACAGGGCCTACACGCAGAGTACAATGTATCCTATAACAATTACAGAGCCTACGCGCAGAGTACAATGTATCCTATAACACTTATAGAGCCTACACGCAGAGTACAATGTATCCTATAACACTTACAGAGCCTACACGCAGAGTACAATGCATCCTATAACACTTACAGAGCCTACACGCAGAGTACAATGTATCCTATGACACTTACAGAGTCTACACGCACAGTACAATGTATCCTATAACACTTACAGAGCCTACACGCAGAGTACAATGTATCCTATAACACTTACAGAGCCTACACGCAGAGTACAATGTATCCTATAACACTTACAGAGCATACACACAGAGTACAATGTATCCTATAACACTTACAAAGCCTACACGCAGAGTACAATGTATCCTATAACACTTACAGAGCCTACACACAGAGTACAATGTATCCTATAACACTTACAGAGCCTACACGCACAGTACAATGTATCTTATAACACTTACAGAGCCTACACGTAGAGTACAATGTCTCATATAACACTTACAGAGCCTACACGCACAGTACAATGTATCCTATAACACT